AGGGCACGGACACCTCAGGCGGGAGCCAGAGTGGCAGGCAGAGGCATGCAGAGGAGCCAGCACAGCACCCCACCACACCACACCCTGCTCTAGCCCACTATCTCTCACACCCATCACCAAGAGAGCAAGAGACCCTTTCTGCAGACACCCTCAGCCTCATTCAGTGTGTTTTCTAATCCTTTCTCAAACTTTCTTGCCAGCAGGCATCTATACGTCAGTGACAAAGCTAACCAAGCAGAAGGTGACAGTCCTGACACTAAACCCTAATTAAGAAAGTGTCTGAAAAGTCCTTCTACTTGCATTAACACTTGCCATTTAAAAAAAAAAAAAAAAAAAAAAAAATCTTCTGGAGACACTCAGTTTTAGACTCAGACAGAGGAGCTTTACTGGAATGGTCTATCACAGTCGTAAGTTGACTGTTGTTGCTTTGAGACCAGGCTGGGAGAGCTGCCAAAGAGACAAATGAAGTAGGAAGAATGAAGTTTAAAATCCCCTTTCAGACAGCTGTGCTTTACAGAAACATTTTGACTTTTTATGTTATTTGGCTTACTATGACTTCTTTATCAAGGCAGAGCTAGCACATGTGTAAGTACATATCAGAATTAGACATTTCCCTTCAACAAACTACTTCTCTCAGGCTGCCTATGCTACACGCTCACCCCACAAAAATGACTAACCAGGCTTTTATAGGGGTGAAGGTGAAGCTAGAGGTGAAAGTCATGCACACATAAGCTAGCAAGACAATCACAGGATTGCAACAGCTCTCTTAGGATAAATTTTCCAGATGGGAGCTGGAATAGCACTCTCTGCTTTGGATTATGGCCAGAAGATCAGCTGAACTGCAGACATCATGCTCCCTCCCCTGACTCACCCTAACGAAGGCCCATCCGCCCATCTATTCGTACCCTATTGTGCAGATGGGTGAGAGTTGCTGTCATGCACTACCTGTCTGCTCAGGCAGCTTAGAACAGAGAAGAGGTGGGGAAATGGTTGAATTTCCCACTAACCTACTTAAACCATATGGGCTTCAGCTTTCAAGTGCCCCCAAAGGAGTTGGACATCAAATCCGAAATAATTTTGGCACCCTTAAGTTTTATTCAGAAACTTGATTTTCATTTCTCTACATTTACATATATTTTCCTGCAAGACACTACCAGCACTCACTTGATTCCAAAATCATTACTGCAGCAGAATAAGATGTTGCACTGCTAGAAATTGTAGAACATTTTAAAATTGTGATAATTTAAAAATCTTTGATCAGATTACAAAAATACTTGAAAAAGAATTCTGTCGCTTTGGAGCAAGCACTTTTAGCTCTACTCTCCTGGCTTACATCATTACAGCCGCCCAATTCAGCTGTGTCCTTGCAAATTTTGAGTGCTTTTAAAACATGCGAGTCTGTTAGACTATATATACATATATGTGTGTATATATGTGTGTGTATATATACTCACACTATATATACATGTGTGTGTATATATACGTATATACTATATATACATGTATACCTACGTAAGACAGAAATCTAGCCATCATCTACAAGAGTAATTTCATGGCCATTGTTGCTTTCAGGCTTCATTTAGCTTCTGTGACCCCACAGATGTTAAGTTGGACATTTCTAAAGCAAGAAAAAAACCCAGAACAATTTCCAAGCACCTCAGCCAGATTCCACCACATATTGAAAGTGAAGAGTCAGCTGTAAGACTCAGTTGTTTCTCCAAGGTCACGACTGCTCCACAATAGGCTTTTAATAAACAACTTGCAATTAAACTAAGTGCATTCTTCCTGTCAAACAGACACCTGTGTTTCATGTACTTCTCTAGTAAGTCTGAGGCCAGCATTTTTTAAAGCTGCTAAAATGCATTTCTGCTATTATTTCAGAGTTTCTCCAAGATTCTGACAATCTCAAAAGTATAACCATAAAGGCAGATGGACATTTGGTAGATAAGTTTTATTTGAATTATCTTGCTAAAATCTTATGCTGCCTTTCCAAAGAAATGCTGTACTTGGCACAGCCCACTGCTACAACTTGAAAAATGCAAAGAAATCTATATGATTACACCAAATCTTACGTTGCCTGCTTTAAGAATTAATGTTGCTGTGGTACGTGAACACCACTCAAATGTTTTAATGCAGTTTTCCTAACAGCACTCTTTTAGGGAAGGGAAACGCTGGAATTATCTATAGTTCTATAGAGCAACTAAGGCATGAAGATACTTAAGTCTCAAGACATGGCATGCAGTTATACTCCATAACTTTTAGGTCTCTGAAGACCCAGACTCCCCCTGCAACGGAAGGAGAGAACTAGGTATCTGAAAGCAGGACTCGCACCGGGCTGCACACAGAGCCAGGAGAGTTCAGTCGTTAGCGGTGCCCGCTCAGACTGCAAGGACTGGCTTACCCTTATCCTGCCTTCATAGACCTGCACCTCTACCCCGAGTCCGACACCTAAGAGGTTTCTGCTTAGAAGGATTAAAATGAGGAGGGGCCATTCCTTTTCCTTTATTTATTTATAGGTGCTACTGCTGTACCACCATTCCTTCTCTTCTCTGCCCCTTTCCCTTTCTCCCCCATTCCTCCTTCACATAAGAGTATGTTATACTAGTAGGTTGGGTACCTGCTGAAGAGTCCTATGCTCCAAGCCCTGCCCCACAGATACTTAACAATTATATCCAACAATCCCTATGCAAAATAAGTGGGCATTAAAGATGTAAGGAGTCTCCTAATCACTAAGCTAGGAAAAAGAAAACGTGAATGATTTTTGGACAACTTGTGCAGCATCAGCAGCTTGGTACCCACCCCTGAGATCCTCATTAGGATCAGAGCACTGTTCTGGGAGGTGGAAGATGAATGCCCGAATGCCTTCAGACAATTGAGTGAATAATAACCCAGATGTCCCACGCCCGCAGCGTGTGTTCAAGTCAAGAGGACATCACAAAAGACAAGGAAAGGAATCTCTTGCTAAGGCCATGCTTTGCATGGGAACAGCAGCTGCTTTATTATGAGCCTGATCTTGCATTAGCTCTGCATAGAGTGTCTGCTTAATTTGCCTTTAGGGAATATCCCTAATTTAAGAACTATACAATTAGTTTTCCTTGGCCTTATGCCCATTTCCCCAGTTTTGTATCAATAGATGTCAATAAGCACACTTGTGATAGATTTAGAAAAACACATTAACCAATCACACTACCCGTGTACTTCCTTATATTCCTATTCATTAGCAGCATAATCCCATCTGGACACTGAACAGTCAAATTCATATACATACAAAAAATCTAGAAATATCTGGAGATCTTCACCGGACTCTAAGGAATTTTACAGGAAATGTAATTCTAGCAGTAGAATAGAATAACTTCTGGGAAGTTGTCTTAGTTTTATTCCTAATAAAATTCTGTAGTATTTTTCAACTGAGAAATTAATGAATATAATACCCGCCTCCCCAACCAGTCAGGGGATGAAGGGGGAGGGGAATCCACACTCTTTGTAGGAGTAATTACTGCAGGAGACATTCTGCCTGTTCTTAGCTACACGATTTCTCTACTCCCTTCTGCACCATTCTCTCCACACAGCTTCACAGCACTTTGCAGTTGATATTTTTGCCCCTCTTCTCTTTTCCCCCATGTTCCAGGTGAGTCCACAGAAGTCACAGGATAACACACTGTACAAAACAGCACTAAATAATAGCTCATCCGATGACCCAAAAGTCTTCCCTCTGAATTCTTTGAATCCACAGGATCATCACTTATTTAACAAACTTGGTACAAAGAATCTTTTCCAGTCTGTCTTCCCTAACCTGACATCTTTTTCCTACTTATACATCAGAGACACGTGTACACATCCCCTGTACACAAACACCCACTTTTGAAAGCCCTCTCCCGAAGATGTAGCTTTTAACCACATTGCGTTGTCACCAACATGCCGCACACTTATCTCAAAGACTCGCCGTACGTCACTTTCGAAAACTATTATCTTTTAATGCCTCTTACCTGACAGCAAGTCACGAGAATAACTGATAATGGTGCTTCCAGGCTTTATCCAGCTCCCAGGAACATCATCGGGTTTTGTACTGCCAACTACCACCACAACAGCATGAAGAAGCTAGGGACAGCCCAAAACACCCCCCGGAAACAAAACAAGCATTTAATGTTAGAAACACGTTCTTGAATATGCATCTTACAATATTCAGACTTATACAGCAACAGTCTTTTGAGCAAAGTATTTGCAGACAACAACAACAAAAAAAATCCAAATTGATGGCTTGATTCTTACCCCACATGACATTTAAGAACAATAGCATTTAAAATGAAGTCAGGTAAACAAACTGTGAAATCAGGCAAGTGGGGTCAGAGTCAGCACTAATAATATTTAATGGGGATTACATACTTTCAGACAAAAAGCTCTATCATTGTCCAAAGTCCTGTCCAACGAGATAACTTGGAGAGACTTAAGAAAAAGAAAGGTTGAAAGACAGTAAATAGGTAATTATAAAGAGTATAGTCAGATTATCTGACAGCAGAAAACCAGGCCAGCTGACGGGAATGCAAGATGACCTGATCTGCAAACATCAATGCCTTTGAATACTAATTAAAACATTTTTTTCCTTCTCGGTTCATGTTTGCTAATCAGTGCCTCTGATTTAGTTCAACCTGACAGATGTTGGAGCAAAAATGGTTACTACAAAATTTCTTATAATCAAAGACATAAGTGTCTTCCTTTCCTCCTTCCTCTGAAACAGGGCCCTATACCAATTATCGGAATCACCATGAGATAAGGGACAGCCAGAGGCAGATGTCTAAAGTTCCACTAAAAAAGCAAAATACAGGCACGGTACTGCCTCAGACCTGAATGTAAAAATTATTTCAGAGATACAGTGATTTTGGGAATATTTTGAAAAATGTACATTAATACCAAGTGTCACAAACTCGGCGAGCCTCTCTATGAATTGATTTGTGACTGACAAGCGTTCCAGCTTCTTTTTTGGCCAGAAGTGCTCTGATGCAACCCTGCCCAACACTCCTGCCAAGAAAGAACAGCTACAAATCCTGTCAGGATAGCAGGTTTTTGGCGCAGCTGAGCATCTAGGAGGGGAGAAGAGCATAACTGTGGCAGAAAAGGCAGAAAGCTAAAAAAGCTCCATCTTCCCCTCAGAGGACACAAGGATGGCCTAACCCCCCTTAGAGATCCACATGTGGAAACAAAGCCAAAAGTGTGGGAGAAGATTTACTTGCTTGACAAATGACTAATGCAATGAGCTGATTCAGGCTTCAGTCAGAAGTCCTGCAACACTCCTATGATTGCCTGCAAACGTAGAGTCTCAACAGTCATTCAGCCTTATCCAAATTGCTTACACTCCTGCGTCTGGTGCAAATATCAACTTACATGCCACTCCTAGAAGGCCACATAAGTCATAATGCTTGACCAGCGTCAGGTCAAATCATACTGAAGAATCTGCAAGCAAATTTGGATAAAAAGATGCTGCAATGACTTGCGTACCAAGAATACTACGCTGAAGATGCATTTTCCCCTGCAAAAGGACGCAGCCTCTGCTGTAACAGTCAACATCATCAACACAGAGAAAAACGTGATTGTTCTCAGTTACATGAATCCAGTCTTTTTTGTAACAAAATAATTATTCACATTCTAGCAGTTATAATTCATATACTGAAAGTCAGGTATGCCATCCCATGCGAAGCCTCTGGGACAAGAACTAAGAGCTTTGCACACCAATTAGCATCAAGAAACTATGAACCAGTTGAGAGCTGTATGCAACAAGTAATAACGGTGACAAATGTTCAGCCAACATACTTATGACAGAATTGATCCAATGTAACTATAATGCCAGAAAACAACTGACCTGACCAAATATTCATCTCTATGACTACCGATCATAATGTTCAAAAATGTTCTTAACAGCTGAACACAATCATTTCTGTAGCCAATGTTAACACTAGTTCAGATGGCTAATGTTGCGCATACCCATAAATGTCTCGGAAAACCAGCTGAACCTTTCATCTCATTGCCCTGCCCCACCTCCTCCATGAAAAAAGTTGTATCACATGGCAGCGAACAGTTGTCCTGTGGGTTGAAGACACACTGATCTCAGAGCCTTCCCCACCATGATTTCCTTTTCCTCATTTCACAAAAAAAAGTAAATGTAAAGGAAAAAAAAAAAGCACAGATACAATCGTTACTTTCTTGCTATAAGCAAGTATTTTATGTGCAACTATTGAAAAAGTTCCTGGAGAGTCAATAAAGTGTATATCACAAACACTATAGGATTTTTTTTCCTCTGTGAGTATTTTAAAAAAACAATCTTGTTTGACTGGGTCTTGTTTGACTGGGAGAGTGAGTCCACTGAAAGCAAAGTAGTTGTTTACAGAATTTTGTGTATCCTTGGAAGAGATTTATGTGATATCCATCAAGGCATTTTGGTTTCACTCGCAAGAAGTCGTGCCCACGCCTCCCCTGCTTTTTTTCCTCTCCTGCCATTACCTACTCTTTTGACTGCCTGTAAATCTCTAAAGCAAGCAGCAAGCCTTGGGAGGCATGTGCAGGCTTATCTCCTACATCAGAAACAAATCACAGACATTAGCAATGGAAAAGACCTATGAAATCATGACATCCAACCTCCCTAGCAAATGCACCGCACAGTCCCCGGACAGAGGACGCATCTGACAGGAACCAGATGTCACAGGAAGCCATAGCCAGAAGGTCGAGGAGATGCCCACGAGGCGGAACGTGCAGCTGCAGGGCGACCAACTGCCCGGTGCTCCCTGAACAGCAAGGCTGCGTCCCACCAGGCAGGCTAGAAGAAGGAATGACGAGCACCATGCCAAACCACCCCTAATGCACTAGGCAATAGACTGAAGACAAAGTAAGCTAATACTCGAGTAGTAGCCTGCCTTCTCACCGGTAAATATTTTTTCAGTTGGGAAAAGCTGTGCCAATAAATAATCTGAAACCTTACCTCATAACGAAATACGACTTTCTCCACCAAGATTTAAGCAGCAGCAGATTAAGAAGCACCACCCATTCCCAAGACAGAACACCAAATGTTAAAACAACAATACAGACTTTCCAGCCAAGTCTTTAATGATAATGGTACAAAGTAGCTGTATATTCCAGATAACTGAAAACCCATTTTGCCATGAAGCCTGCATAAAAACTTAATTTCCCCATAGTTAAAACCGACTGCTACAAAAGCCAGTTTTAAATACATGATCAAAGAAAAAATATTTGAAATTAATATTTGAAATGCAAAAAGCCCTCAGTTTCCTGGGTCTGAAGTTAGGCCAGCTAAAATTTAAGAGATGGGATGAGGACTAGGACCTGATTCAAAGTTTTTTCACAACTCTTCTTATGAAAAAATTCATTTTACACATCAGTTTACAGATCAGGTTCCTCTTCAATCACAGCAATTCGAATTACTTCCTGAAATCTTGAAATTTTTTTATAACAATGACTAGTTTCAGGTACTTTTTCCATCCAGGCATGTTCTTCTTACATGGTTTCTTCCAGCTCCATCTCTACCTCGGGCAGTTACGGTTTGCAAATCATTGGCAACCCAGCAGGACAACTATGCATGGTCCGCTCCGATCCCTCCCCCCTGGTGGGCAGCCACCAGCTCCCTGCTACCATCTTCTTGCCCAGGCACCAACAGCCCCTTCCCTACCACGTCGGCCTGAATGCACTTGCCCTACACAGTGCATGTGAAAATTAGGTCCGCATCTCTACTATGGGCTCAAGCCTACCGCTATGATGCATGCGTTAGGAACTGTTCCTCTAGCTCACAGGCTGGGAGATAAATTTCAAATTGCAAGGAGCAGATATGATACACAAAAAATGTTGAAGCAGAAATACTTTGTCTGCAGCATCATCACTAGAAACTCTCACGCAGCCTCGCTCTCCTCTCCTTTTATGGGATCTCTATACCTGGTCTCATGTTTTTTCATGCTTACTTACATGCTTATGATATGAAATGTATTTTTCCGCCAGTACCAAGACTCTTGGTCTAATCAAGACAGCAAAAACGGGACAGCAAATGACTACGGGACAGCAAATGACTAAGAGATGTCTAATAGTCTGAAGCGGAAGTGTTGGCTCTAAGGAAAAGCAGACTGTGGCCAAAAGAGGTTCTTATCCAACTTGAAAAGGAACCTCCCATTCATGCACTCCAGCTGAACCGCTCTCCTACTTCTCAACCAGGCTTTTACAAACAAGTGTTCCATTCCTAATTATACCTAGATAGACTGGTTTTCAGTTCTTTTGTAACAAAATTGTAGGATAGCAGCTCTCTTAAAACAGGCATAATGTGGTTCACATACAGACTACATGTAAGACGATGTGCTGAAATCGTGACTGACTGAATTGAGACAACTGAAACAAAATTCGATTTCCTCATAGGTACTAAGTATTATCCATGTTTTGGCAAGAAAATAATCTCTGTTTTTCAATTTGAATCTATTTGATAACCTTCTTTCAAACTAGAAAGTCTAATTCTAACATAATAAAGGATTAAGCACGTCAGTTCCCATTCTTCACCTGTAACACTGAATTGACTTTTGGGTAGTCCCATTTTTGAATGACAAGTGAGATGTTCCTGAAAGTATGTCACTGGGTCGTTCTTCAGGTACTCTGCAGTGATTGTGGTTTGAAGAGTTACCTACACAAAGCTTAACAGAATGATAACATCTTACTTATTTCCACCAAAATCCTCAAGTCTTTATCTCTTACTTCATAATTTATTTTACATCCAACATATCAATGCAAAAAGAACAGCGATTCTTCATGGCAACTATGCACAGCTGTACCAGAACCTTCTGAAATACACTGCTTTCTTTCATTTGTGATTTTATTTGAAAACCCAGGAAGCTCAAGAGTGTTGAAGGACATGGCTCAGCTGTGCCATGATAATTATTTTTAATAACTAAAGTCAAGCAAACCCAAAATGGAAAAAAAAGAAACATTAATAATCTGTTCACCTTAACAAAATATGAAGTGGGGAGGGAAAAGAACATGCAAAGTGTGTCCATTATTCATGCAGGTCAAAGCAAGGAAATTAAAATGTACCGTTATTTATTTTATTCCCTCTTCCTAGGAAGGATTAGGAGCACGCTAAGTCAGATGGTATCATGCTGTTTGTCAGCAGAGCTACCTCTACATTGTTAGACTAAAACATACCTTCCTCTTGATCATTTTCAAAATATTTTTGCAAAAGCGCATGAGTAAAAGAAGCAATAACAAGTCCATAGCAATACAAAACCTGACCCGAAAAAACCTACAACATTAGTGTTGTGTGTCTCATTTAAATTGATCGAATTTCTAAAGAAAACACTTGTTGTTATGCTATCCTTTAAAAAGAAGAACAAATCAGCAGAGCTAGTCAAAGGTAATATACTACCCGCTTAAGAAAGGCATTACATCATTGACATCGGGATTAGTGCTTCAGTGCAAATGGGCCTGGCCAATGGATTAAGACAAATAAGGTACACCTACCCTTAAGCTCAATTATTCCTTTCCTGGTATATATTGCAAAACAAATGCATCCCAATGAGAAGCTCATACTCTTCCTAAGTTCATCCCTCACTTCGTAAGTGAAGTTATTATTCTACTGTAGGTTATACTTCCAAACAACAGCACACAGACTGTTACTGTAGAGGTATCACATTCAGAGGAAGGAGAAAAAGTGTATAGCCATGTCTAAAGTCAGTGTATTGTGCAGTGAAAACAAAACATGAATTAATTCTTCCAAGTCTTGGAAAAACCTTGACATCGACTAACATGTTTTCCGACTTGAAATTCAAATAAAAAAATTCTCAAGAGAAGAAACCTTGTGAGCCTTTAAACTGTTTTTAGTTAATCAGCGTTTCGAACAAGCAAGAGAAAATAAACTCGTATCATTAGCTATAATCATGTTATCTAACAACATTGTACTTCAAATACAGGTTGCCACAAGAGAGCAGTGCCTCGTTGTCCAGTAGGAAACCAGACTCTCCGGCTTCTGGGAATATGAAACAGGTCAGTTTTCCCTGCATGCATTAGATTTTATCTAGGAGCTGGAGTTAACTATAACAGAGTTACATCCAGACAGGTTCAGCAGTGCTCTGAGGGTTACTGGTGACACACTGCTCCAGGCTTACAGACGATGAAAGCAGGTTTCCTCCGAGCTCTGCTGATTAGCCCTCCAGGCAAAGCAGAAACTCCTTTACTGCCAAAAGTTAAAATGAACTTGGGAAGACTGATGTGCAAAGCCTCAAACTGCCTCCTGCTTAGGCCTCCTATTCTGTTTCCCATCAGTGACCTGCTGCGAGAGGTAAGCTACGGGGAATGCCAAAAAGCAAAGCATGATTATCGGAAAGCATCTGGATGGAGGAAACGGACCTCTCTCCGGCATATCGACAGCACTGCGCAAGCAGCTCTGGCCTGGTCCAAGTCTTTTGCTGTGAACCAGTGGAAACACCTCTGGCCACCCACCCCATCCAGCCCAAAGCAGTCCTCTAGCACAACCCCAAGCAATGAGAAATAATTAAAGAATGAGACATGGCTAGTATTAAGTTCACAGTTCTCCCATCTCTGAGAGAGGCATATATTTCCTAAGTACTGTCAGTCACTTAAAGCACAGAGCTGAGACAAGCCTGACAAAAATATCCGCAGCTGTGAAAACACAGGTTTGCCAGAGAACTTTCTATCACAGCTGCTTAAACTTATTTCCTCCTCCTATCCTTGCCTTCAAAACCCAGAGGTTTGACACTATCATTTTGCATTGGCTGCCACCTTGTGGCATGTGCTATCAAATATAACACAAGGGCTGACCCTTGCACCTCACCCCTTCAGTGACTTGGAAACAGCTGCTGGAGTAACGTGCATCTCTTCTACAGCTAATACCTGGGGTCTGTGCCACGGACTGAGTTAGGAACCCCTCTGCACGTGCCCAAAGGACAACACGCTCCCAGTTGTATTATTCTATGAAATGTGGGATTAAGGAACAAACTGGGAAGTTTGACAGGAAGTTGTACCAGCTTCTAAGTTGTTGCTCAGAGCTCTGCAGAAAGCAACCAGGAAGACCATGTAAATTAAATCCTTCGAATTAAGGCTCCTGAATTTCTCTCTATCCTTTTACAGTTTTCTTCAAAGATAAAGATTGTGATCCTCCTTGTCCCAAAAGAGGCAGAATTTGCAAACCTTTAAGACACAAATTCAACGAACGTAATTTCATACAGGTGACTATATCACAGGACAAAAAGAAAGCGGGCATCTCTCGCACTGAGGGAAAGAAAAAGGGAGACCCAACACATTTGTTTTAAACTGTACCCGTGAATTCTTTCTCTCACAGCTACCAGTGCAAAATAATGAAGTTATAGCAGCTACTGCTACATATGTAATATTCCGGTAGAGGCCCCTGTTTGCCTGAATACCATTTCTGAGCAAGCAGGAAGAAGAGGAAAGATCCTAACCCACGCTGGCTACTAGCGAGCTCCAGTGCCACCCATGACTGAAATGATGAGTCTCCCTCTCAGGAATGGCAGCGAGGGGGAGCAGCGCCATGCAGGCGGCCGACAGGGATGCAGGATGACCCCCGGGCACTGGGCAGACAGAAGAGTGCTCACCTTGGTCTGCAGCTGAGGGGCTTTCCACCGGCAGCTCAGGGTCGCCGCTCCCTCCCCGCAGCCTGCAGCGTGCGGTCTCTAAGCCCGGCTGCCGAGTCGCTGCCCTGCCGTGCCCGAGCCCCGGCTCCCGCCTTCCTCGCTCCCTCCCTCCCTCCCTCCCTCCCTCCCCCTCCCCCTCCTGGCCGCCCGCCCCCCCCCCCCCCCGCCGGCGCCCACCAGCAGCACGGTCTTTCCACCTGCGCGACACAAGGCAAGTCGTTCAGCCGCCCTCGGCTGCAAAGGCGCTAGCATCAGGCTCCACCGGGCTGCAGAGCTGGAGCGTCTACGCGAACTCCCCCCCCTTTACCAGGCCACCCACTATCAAAGCCCTCCAGAAGAGCCAGCAAAGCGGCTCACGACAGGCCAGCGCCGTGTGCCTGCACAACCACAGCAGCTGTGGCATTACGGGCAACTCTTTCAGAGCCCATGCAGTAAGACAAACCACAGGTTTGAAGTTGTTTCCTGGCGACTCTCTAATTCTAGTAAGCAAATACTGCTCTTCCAGTTTTCTGGTATTTTATTTGCACAAATCCTTTCACTCATATTCGTTACTACGTACATTTGACCTCCTGTTTACGGTTCTGTTACAGAAATCCTTGTCTCAACAATTATGGATCACTACAAGAGACTACTTCTGAAACGCTGCCTTAAACTAACAGCATCTTCACACACTGTAAAGCCACTTGTTTAAATCTGCCATTTCAATGTTAGCATTTACACAGTACAACCCAAACCAAAAGATTTGCTCAGCAGTTATTTACAGGAAGACCTGGATTTCTCCAACTGTTCACACTAATCAAAATTGAGTGAAATCCCTAAGTGATGTTTGTATTTTTGGTTTTGAAGACTCAGATGTCTCAGGTGGCTTCACTGAGATTAAATCCACTGATGGAAGGTAATCCCTGCCTAATCTCCACAATCCATAGGACTGAAACCCATCTCTGCAAATATTACATCCAGATCTCACTGAGGTTCCTCACTAGCAGGAGACAAATATACGTCAGGTGGGAAAACAACACAAACCAGAAAACACAACAAGGTGAGATTAAATTTGTCTCTCAGTCAGGACTAAAATTGAGAAAATTAGTTAGGCTAAAATTAATGTAATAATTATGCTAGAAGGTCTCACCTAAATCTTCAAGAAGCTCCATCACAGCACACGCTGTAGGAGGAACTAGACAGTCGTAGGCATCGCCACGTACCAAGCGTCCTAGGTTTACATCGGATAATCTGCAGTGGAAAAATACGGCAATTTAAAAAAAAAAAAAAAAAGTTTGTGCAACATAAATCCTCAGTAAAGCTTGTAACATGGCTAACAGCTAATCCCAAGAGCAAACATGTCTCATGAAAGTAAATCCTTTGATAGTCAGGTACTGTGGCTAATTTGTATCATCCCACATCCCAGCTAGACAAACACTGAGCCTCAACAGAGGCCAGGAAAGGCATCTGTGAGTTAGAACAAGTAACATGAGCCCATGATACACGGGCAGCTCTTCACTCATGGCGGTGGGCTACCCACAGCACGCTGGGCCAAGACACCTCAGTGGCTGCAGTCCGGCGCTGCCAGAGCCAAGCTGAGCCGGAGGCAATACATCCTTCTGGGCTCGGGCTGGCTTGCTGGGGGGAACTCAGGGGTTTCCGCGCTGCACTGCGTTCTCTCTCATACACAAGGATGCTCTGAATTTTCCATTCTCTGTCAATCTCCGGTACTCCAGATAATGGAAGGATAACTAATTTGCAAGATTCTCAGATTTTTTTCCTGACATGAAAAAAAAAGGAGAGAGCAAAAAAAGAAAAAAAAAAAAAAGGGTAACAGTCTGCGGTTGAGAGCAAGAAGGCTGCAAGAGCAGCAAAATGGTAACCCAGACACCTAAATTATGCCAGTGGTCTCTCCAGAGAGCAGTGCAACTCAAGACTGATTGGAAAGTTGTGCTAATGGGTCCAAACTATTATAGCCTACTGTCCCACCGTGAGAGTGTGCTGTAAGGAAGTTAAAACCTTCTCTGCAACTTTTCCATCAATCCTTCTTGTGAAAATTTTGGGGTTTGTGTTCAGTACTTTGTGACTACCATTTGTATTACTGAATTACTGAAATATCTTAAGTATCATCAGTGAATCAGAACTTTGTTTTTGATTTCTTTGAAAAGACCATGTCCTGAATATACAGTATATAGAGATTAAAAAGATAATGATCAAAATGACTTCAGCAAAAGACTTCTCATTGATTCAGCGGCATCTTTTATCACTACTCAATAGCACAGCTAGACACGCTGACTGAGGAATCCATTAATGAAAAGCAGAGGGGAAAACTGAGTTTACAGAGCCATCAGCCTTGCGTTTACTAATATTATTTCTCAGTGCTTCACTTACCCATCCACATCCTTCTCTGGTTTCACAGCGTTTAATACCTTACTGCTATATAAGCTTTCTGGGAGGTCAAGGGCAAGGCCCTGCACATTAGGATCCTCATTAAGTCTCAAGATTTCATTGACAATCTAGGAAGTTAATAAAAAGCATTAAAGATCAGAACAACAGACAAAAGAATCTAATTAGAAGGGGATAAACCCTATATTTTAAAATTACCTTATGGCCACCTTTGCTTCCCTCACATATTACTGCAACTTTTAAATGAAAAAGCAATAACCTGCTTTCCTCATTTTGTATTTCCGTGGCTTACCAAATTAAGCCACCTGACTCTATTCTAAACATTTTGCAAAGCCAACACATTACGTGACATTACACTACCAAAACCATTTTGTCTTTCGTGGTCCCAAATCTCAGCAAAAGCTCAACACCGTAATGGCTTCAGAAGATGCGTTTGGAAATAAGAAGCCGTGGTTAAAACATCATTCAAAATAGGACTGGATCGCGTCCCAACACAGAACATGGACAAAAAGTTGTATAATTGTTTTTCCGGCATTACAAGAGAAAATTCATTTTATTAAACCAGTATATATTGTTACCAGTTTTCCTTCTCAAAACACCCTGATCCTAAGAGCTGACAGTCGTCTTGTGAAGAATTGTTATTTTGAAAAGGCACTGCATAAAAGTTTATGAATGTCAAGTACTGAACCAGGTATGAGTTCAAACGTTTTATAATTGGTCATATTTGACATCTGAGACTGTACTACCTACCCTTGATTGCTTCACCTCTAAAGTGCCATGCTGATCCATAGTGATATATGCTATTCTGCTGTGACCATGAAGAATACAATGGAATAAAACATGCTGAAGTTTTCTCATGTGAGAAATGTCATGTGAGCACGTCTTTCCATCATATAAATAAAATCAGTGTGCAATCACCACAAAGCTGTATAATTTAATTGGATTAATACCCAACAGAAAATGAGTACGTTTATTTTCCTTAGCTAATACCATGCCTTCCTAAAATGCTTTTCATGTAAACTATTCAATATAATTGTGAACTCTATTGCCCAAACACTTGATACGCCATCAACATTAAGCCAGGGAAATTTGCTAGGGGTTAGACTGTCTGCCACTCTGAACCAAGTGAACGCGCTACGTTCATGTTAACAAAGATTATACAAGCATGTCACTGGTGTAGAAATGCCCCTTTAGTTTGCTGACTTCTGAGACAGAAACAGGCATATATATTAAGACCCTGTGCCATTTGACAGCAATAGGGCTGGTATACATTCTGATAGAAAGTAAGGATGAGTGTATACATCAGAATATGGATGTGAAAACATCCACATTTCGCTTAAAAAAATCCTGAGATGCTACAAAATGTCGGGGGTCTACACAGCACTTAAAGGAAACATAGTTCATAAATAGCCTGAATCTAATGAACGTTGAACTATATTCCTGCTTCCTGGGAAAATAATTCAGTTTTCCATTTTCATTACATTTTACTTTAATTCAGCTTTCCATCATCACAGCATTTAAAATACTTACAACTCATGCAGGATAAAGCAATATTGTATTAACTTGCCTTTGCTGTACACCAGCAGTTATGGCAGAACAGTAAGTGCATGGTATTGAAATCCCTCCCACCTTCCCAAACCAGGGAATGCAAGCTAGCACGTGGATTTTAACAGATGAAAAAGAACTTCTTCATAATGAGTAAGCAGGAGAGTAAGCAAACCGTTATGAACTTTATTGAAAGTAATTTTCTTCAAGTAACAAAAATACCCTGCTCTTCTCTTTACATGCACAGCTCAGCCACCTCCTAAGATATTGGTTCAAAGTAACAGCAACTACTGCTGCATGCTCACTATATTTTACCTGTTTCCTACTGTGTTACTCAGCAGATAAAATGCATTTACCAACAGCAAAGTGTATTTGATCTTCATTTCAAAAGCCCACCCTTCTTAAATGGGTAGCTGACTATTCATCATCCACAAAACTGGACTTATAAGAGTTTTAGTAAAAACTCTTCACAGTAAGCTTCCAGACACCTTAAGAGGAACTGTTCTTGATATTACACTGCAAGCCAGTAATATTTTAAAGACAAAGTGTACCAAATACAAAACAGTACACAAAACCCACAAGCCTGTAGGATTATCAAACTTGCCAAGCATGAGGAGGCCAGCTGGGAACAGTGGCATCTTTTACTACACGTTCCTTTGCTGTTTTTACTTTCAGATGCCTCAGAACCATGTATATTAATATGGTTTGCTACATTTAAAACATACTTGATACTAGTGCTGTGCCTCCAACCTAATGCCTTCGACAAGGTAAGAATTCAGCCCTCTAGTGATTTGGGGTGGATGATTTTTTCAATACGTACTTTAAGCATTACAAGACCAACGAACAGGCAAATAAATTCAACCCCCTCCCCCTCTAAATCAATTAATCTTTAATTTCCCTGAATAACTTGGGCAAGACTCAAGTACAGTCACAAGAGCAACTGTGGGAGATAGGACACTCGTGCTGGTATGAGGGGACGCTGCAGTTAAATACCAGACACGAAAACAAAGCATTACTCTGCTGATTCTGCCTCAGCTTGCCGGGGGACAGCAGACAAGCCCATTAATTCCCTTTTTTCCCACGCTTGCCGATAGGGGGATAATGCTTGCTACTCGAACTAAGGCAGAACCAACCCTAATTTGAGTTAATAGGGATCAGTTCAAAGTGATAATGAACGTCAGCAATAAATACAAGCTTATGACGAAAGTGGAAAAGGAAGAGTCCTTCAGGTACTGCAGTTACCTCATCCTTGCTGCTGCCTTCAGGGAGACAGATGTGAATAACACGTAGACCAACCTGCCAAAAGAAAATACTTATAATTACACCAAAGACAAGTAGCTCATGTTTAATAACAAGTGTATCGGCTAAAGCTTACCTCTTTGGCAAAGTTCCTGTTTATTTCTTGAATCAACTGATCATTATGTGCCTTGGGGAACAAAACAGAAACTAAGTTTTAAAACAATAAATTTACATTTAAAAATGTGAGTGCAGTAATGCACAGGTCTATGTAAGAAAGGTAGTGAGGATGTCTGTGCCTACTAGTATTCAAACAAATAAAAAGCCTAGCAATTCCAAGACACAGAAGCCCATCCAGTAAATTTATTTTGGTTTGATTAATTTAAGTGTGTGTTGATATTAGCCTGGCTTTTATAGACGAGAGTGGCCATTTCCTTAACGTAAGTTTACCACTTAAGAAAGGTACCAGTCTGTATCTGAAGATACCGTTCTCCATCCAGCCGTGTAACAAGGATGAAATAGGCAACAGCAATACTAGCATTTCCTGCAGCGTCCCCATAGCACCTAACAACACTGGTTTGCCTTACCACCAAAAATGAGGCAAACCATTATCATCATATATTACAGTGAGTTCTGTCAATACAGAAGCAAGAGAAGTTTTCAGTTCCTCCCAATTGCCAGCAGGCACCTGCGCTAGGACAGAAGCGTCTCCTGGGCAGATTTACCTGGGAGACCATCTCACCCAGGAATCCTCCTCCCTGAGGTCTCTACACCTATATGCACCGTATATATTATGATATTTAATCGTAACAATTACAACTGAATTTTACTCTTCAAGTTACTCTTGAATCTTAGGAGGCTTTTCACATATTTTCATATATTGTAACAATAAATCTGAGAATTCAATATCCAGAACTAGAAACCTCCTACCAACAGGTCAGTGAGGGTTCCACCCTCAAAGATCTTTGTGGCTTCATAACAAAATGAATAAAACACTTCTCACAGCTATATGATTATATATAAAACCTGTCTTCCAACCCAGACAACAGGAGCGAAATAAATCATTTTAAAAAGGTTCATTACAATTCATGAATGTAAATGTATTCTACGTAGCTTTTTCCACAAGACTCAGTGCCAGTGACTTCCCGTCAGAGTTGAGCCGCTCAAATGAATAAAACACTTATCACAGCTATATGATTATATATAAAACCTGTCTTCCAACCCAGACAACAGGAGCGAAATAAATAATTTTAAAAAGGTTCATTACAATTCATGAATGTAAATGTATTCTACGTAGCTTTTTCCACAAGACTCAGTGCCAGTGACTTCCCGTCAGAGTTGAGCCGCTCACTTTGTGGTTAGCTGCCAGCACTGGCTTTGTCTGTCACTAGCATCACCCAAAATGATTTTGGTTCAAGCCTGTAACAATTTACCAACCTGTTAACCCCAAATGGTTCAAGACTGCTGACAATGAAAAAAAAGAGCATTTAAAAGGACAGGCTCTGCGAAGAGAGGCAGCTCCTGTGAGGGGTTGAGGGCTTGGCCTCCATCCCCCGGCTCCCTCCCCCAGCCCAGCACTGCCTGCATCCCTGGCACCGCACTACCAGTCTCCCGCTCCCCAAATCTGGCAGCCAGGGGCGAGGGGCAGCACAGAGGCTGCTGCATTGAGAACACGCGTGGAGCTCACACTGTGGCAAGGGAAAAAGAGATGGGATTAAGGACAGCTCAGCAGCTGCTCCCCTATGCCAGTAAACGTGGAATTGTATCCCCACACTGACGTGTCACCACCAGGACTGCTCGAGAGGTTTATCTGGATTCAGCCACCAGCGGTACCATGCTGTCCCCTGCAACGCCCCCACGGCACCGGCTGGTGAACGCTCACCTCGTGCGGGCGCAGAAAGTCCCTGCCCTGAACTGGTTCCCATCACAACACGCGGAGCGGCACAGGCAAGGCCAGAGCTCAGGACGTGGGCTGGCAGAGCGCAGGGGCAGGGCAGGGGGTGCAGGGGAGCTGGCAGTGCTTCACTGAGCTTTGCAGGCCAACAGCTCCGCTGCTAAGCAGGATCCTGCCGCTACGTATTAGTTTTCAGCTTCAACAAAATTAAGAAGCAGCCACCAATCATTTTTTGCTGTTGCGCAGCTCCGACCAAGGTTCAACACAGATAACAAGCAACATGGATATCAGTCTCGGTATCAGATCAGGTTCAGGTGGCTCGAGAGGAAAAGAACGCATCTAAAACCATTCCAGAGCGGGCTCAGTCTGAAACTCCTCATTCCCAGTACTGCTGCAGAGGTCGCACCACGTTACGCCGACTGCTGTTACCCAAGAGCGACTGGCGAAGGAGATCATTTCGCTGCCCTCCCTCTGCTCCTCTGGGTGCAACGCAGCATGTGGAGAGCAGCATGAATCTTAAGGCTCTGCCCACATTACCCGGTAGAGCAGTGCACCACAAGAACATTTGTAGGCTAAAACAAGTCATCTTTGTACCAACAAATACACATTTAAAATGAGTTCTGCTTCAGTCCTTGCAACCAGACTAGAGCTAGGGTGACTGACAGTTGGAGAACATTGTTTGGGTGAATTTCATCCAGAAGGATCTAGGCCACAAGTTCCTACAGCCACCTCATGATGCAAACCAAGTGAGGTAAACGGGGACAAGAGGGACATTCATTTAAAGCACAACCATGATCAAAACCAAAACACTGATGTAGATGCATCCCAATTGCTATTAAAAGTGAGCAGGAACCTCCCCCTCCTCACACAATGCTCTCTCTCATCCTAACAATGTCCCTTCCCTTGTGCCAGCATAAAACACCCATGCAGAAAACCAGACTCAGGGACTAATGCGGCTGAAAGGAAGCCTCCCCAGACCCCTCCAGCACAGGGTGGATCACTGCCCCAATCCAGCTCACGGTGCAACTGGATGGAGGCAAGACAGGAATGAGAAAAAACAGGTCACTGAGAAGACAGATCACTCCTTTTCTAGCAGTCCTCAAACTTACAGCCTTAGAGGGCTATTTGAAAACATTAACCGCAACTACCCGAGGAAGGTAAGAGATGGGAGAGCTTGTTCAGTTAGCCTCGCTAGAAGAACTACTGAAATAAAGTTGGTGCTGCATTTCTCAGATTCACTATTAATACTTAAAAAATATTTATAGTTAGGTTTTAAAATTGAAACCTACTGGGTCAGAGATTCAGTGTGCGCCCACTCAAAATCAACACCACCGTCCTAGGAAACAGGACAAAAATATTTTTGCCTGCACGGCTCTGGGTCCCACTCTGAATGGCAAACATCCCCAGTTTCTTGGCCTTGAAACCTTAAGAAATCTAAAGAGGAACATATCTCAGCTTTGCAGGGATAGCAATCCTCATCTATGAGTTTGCCTATCTCAAAGATGGCAGCGCCATTGGGATGGAAAGGAAAGCTCTTGATGGCATTAGTAATACAACAGCTCTCAATTACTACGAGATTGCTTCACCTTAGAAAGCGCTGCTACTTCTAAAGCATACTGACATTTTACACAGAACGTTTATTTCACACAGGCCCTTTTGAGCTGACTGGGAGTTCTCAGTGCGGTTATCCTCTCCTTAGGACAGCAGTAATGCAGTCACATAAGCTACAGCTGCCCAAAGGCAACAAGGCTGGCAGGAAGCAGCAGGGTCTTTCCTTAACCCTGGCAATGTTACTTCAGGGGTGGGAAGTGAAGGGAGGCCCACGTTTTCAGGCACATAAACACTTTTTTCAGGACTGCAACAAAAGCTTCAAGCTAAATAAAGGTTGCGAACAACCGCTTTGACTTTAACTTAGGTACGTCAATCAACTTAGACAACCTGTGAGAAAAGGCAATCTGTACTTATAACGGGGAAGACTGTGTTAGCAAAGGGAGGAAGGGATAAAATTGTTCCCTTCCTGTGCAAACTTTTCCCACAGCCTGAAGTTTGCTGTGGCTGCTTCAGGCCTGGAGAAGAGCTTATGAGACTGAAAACTCTTCAATCTACAGTCTGGCAGGATTACCTCCTCCTATCACTTTGCTTGAATAAAAGTTACTTTCTGCATTGTGCACTTCTGAAGTTTCAGACAAGCAATGGTACCAAAGGGGATCTCTCACAGGCAGCTAGCACGCAGACATACTTTACCTGAACAATGGCAAGCGTTGGCTCAAGCCGAGGGTTTTCTCTCTTAAGAGAGGCCAAGGATTTTTTTGCATTCTCAGTGATTTTGCTGCAACACAGTAACAGGCAAATCTTTAGCAAAATAAACCTTCCTAACATCAGTCAGCAGAAACCTATGTTAGTCAGCACTATGGAATAAATGCTTAGGCGCGTATGCTTTTAATCATCAAAATTACACATGCATGTAAACTGTGAAGGCTGGTGTTCAGCAGTCAGGTACAGAAAACCCTAACAGACCAGAACACCTTTGTTTTACAGCTGTGTGTGTCATTGTCCCGACATGCTCAAAACTTTATAGGTAGCCTATGCCATTCCACGAGAAGGCTTGTCCAGCCCCACCACGGGAAGCGCAGCAGGGATCCACCACCCCCAGCCCTCAGCTCAGGTGGGTCCTTTGTTTCCATACCCTAGGCCCGGGTGGCAACAGAAGCAGAGGCCTTCAGACCTGGGGCTGCTACAGCTTGACACAGGCATCACCAGCCCTAACAGCAGCAACCCCGCCGCTTTTCATGGATGCTATTCAAAACTGCGGGCAGCAGGGAGACAAGAGGAGCTCTGTTGGCCACGCTGCTTCTTGGAAAAAACATCGGCAGCCAGGCACTGGAAAAATTTTCTGGATAAGTGGCTGCCAGCTCTCCTCTGTTACCTTCTGCGCACGTAGATGATACTTACCCAGCAGGGGAAGAAGGAGACGCTGCAGGAAGTAGGAGACCCCCTGAAAGATGCCTGCCTGTCCCCCACAGCAGGCAAAACTAGCCGGGGAAAACACAGCCTAGAGCAGTTTTTTGCTACCTCTTACCCCCCTTGCGGAAGCCAACGACCAACTCAGGTCAATGTCGTGGCAGCCAAACTGTCCCAGCTGAGGTTGGATGGACGCGGGGAGGGCGGGGGGGGCGACCAGGGACGACCCAGACGACACGTT